GTCAGTAAAGGGTTCAGCATGCCAGGTGCTGATCAGCTTGCCATGATCCAGCAAAGCATTTAGGCACAGGAGCCGCGCTGTTGTGTTCAGCCCAGCCCGAGTGCTCTGCTCCTGGCAGGATTGGAGCCAAACAGCGTGTTGCTGGCACAGTACATTTGTTCTGGGTTATGTTTTCTCTGTGCCCTGGTTGCCCAAGTGAAAAATATCTCCTAAAAGAGAAAGTCAAAGACTATCAAGAACTTGTTCTTAGGGAGATGGGAGCCCAATTTACCCTTTGCTCCTTCCCCAATTTTTTATCTGTAACAGAAAAAAGCATAGTCTGTAATTTGTTTGATGTTTTTGAATGCAATCTATTCAGTTCTCTTGCTGGAAGGTGACGACAGAAATACCAGCTTTCACCCATGGAAAGCACTGAAGTCTTAATTAACTGGATGCTTTAGAATACTTAATCTCTTGTAACAGGTCTGTGTATGCAATGCTGTTATTCTTTCTAAGACAAGCCTGGATATTTTATGATGACTCATTATCTGTTAATATTAACGCAAAAATGTGTGCTGTAAGGCAGAACGAGGGCATCACAGCAGCAGGCTGCAGGTTTCAAAGCAGAGAAGTACCACGAAGTGCTGTGAGTTCGACCTACTCTGTGTGAAAGACGGGGCAGTTTCAGCCCTCTGATACTGCTAGCATTTTAGAATCCCAAATAGTCATTTATATAATAATAATGCTTAACACTTACATAACTCTGTGTAAATGCTATTTAATTAATACACTGTAATCTGTATGTAATATTTATATTGCATTCTGAAGGGCCCCTGTGTGCAAACTCGGTCAGCAAGTGATGTGCCTTATAGAATTTTATATGATCTCATTCCAGGTTGTTTAGTCAAACACAGCAGGAGGCTAGAATTCAGGACAGGAACCAGGTGAAACACCACATTTTGATTCACAGGAGTTTGTGCAAAACCATTCAGTTTCTATCTCAGAGATACTCTGAATTTCAGTTTTGAACAAAGGCCAAGAATCAAAATGAAATTCAACCAAATCAGCCAAGTTTTGCCTGGTTCCAGGTCAAACCCATGTAAAATCTCTGTCATTTTCAAGTTGTCCACTGGAAATCGTAGTCTGTTCCAGGGTCCCCAGAAATTCCTCCTAAATTAGCAAACCTCTGAAGGTCACCAACTTGTCCTGTGTTCCAGGTTTGTAATTGGAACTGGATGAACTGTTCATCAAATTTCAAACTTTTTGGTTTGCAAATCCCCTGTAAGCAGATCACTATTACTATCCATTGTCCTAACTTACTCACATCCAGCTAATGTTTAAGGAGAACATATTTCAGCCTCTGAGTTGCTCACAAATTTTTCACTGCTGGTGGTCTTTTTAGTATTCAGTATCTGCTTTCAACTTGCAGTCAGAACTAGTTTCACCTGATTTCAGTTAATTTACAAAAGCTCTGTGCAGACCCATCCATGTGTTCTGTTCTTGGCTCTTCACCATTTCCCTCTCTAGCCAGATACCCTCTCTGTGCCTCAGTTTCCAAATCTGTGAATTGGGATAATAACTACTAACCAAGAGTGCTGTGAGGTGTAATTAATTAACACTTGTAAAATGCTTTGAGCTCCTTTGAGGAAAGGTGCTTGAAATGTTCAGTCTGATATAATTTATATTGTTCCATATATGAAACTATGATTTAGGGTGATTCAATAAGGATAAGTGCAGGGTCCTGCACTTAGGACGGAAGAACCCAATGCACAGCTACAGACTAGGGACCGAATGGCTAGGCAGCAGTTCGGCGGAAAAGGACCTAGGGGTGACAGTGGACGAGAAGCTGGATATGAGTCAGCAGTGTGCCCTTGTTGCCAAGAAGGCCAATGGCATTTTGGGATGTATAAGTAGGGGCATAGCGAGCAGATCGAGGGACGTGATCGTTCCCCTCTATTCGACATTGGTGAGGCCTCATCTGGAGTACTGTGTCCAGTTTTGGGCCCCACACTTCAAGAAGGATGTGGATAAATTGGAGAGAGTCCAGCGAAGGGCAACAAAAATGATTAGGGGTCTGGAACACATGAGTTATGAGGAGAGGCTGAGGGAGCTGGGATTGTTTAGCCTGCAGAAGAGAAGAATGAGGGGGGATTTGATACTACCTGAACTACCTGAAAGGGGGTTCCAAAGAGGATGGCTCTAGACTGTTCTCAATGGTATCAGATGACAGAACGAGGAGTAATGGTCTCAAGCTGCAGTGGGGGAGGTTTAGATTGGATATTAGGAAAAACTTTTTCACTAAGAGGGTGGTGAAACACTGGAATGCGTTACCTAGGGAGGTGGTAGAATCTCCTTCCTTAGAGGTTTTTAAGGTCAGGCTTGACAAAGCCCTGGCTGGGATGATTTAACTGGGAATTGGTCCTGCTTCGAGCAGGGGGTTGGACTAGATGACCTTCTGGGGTCCCTTCCAACCCTTATATTCTATGATTCTATGATTCTATGATTTCACTACGGGATGTTGAGTGGCCTGGGTCATGCTACAGCTAATCCAATCCTGCCTTTCTTACACACCCCAAACTCTTCAGTGAAAGAGGTTTAAATGCTCTGGGAAAAGGAATGCAGGATCCAACCCCTGAACGTAAGTGGTTTTGCGCTCTCTAGCAAGTCTTTCCATCTCTCCTGAGATGCACCTGGTTAAAGGTGACTTACTCAGCTTCAGGCTGCTTTGCTGGTACTATCAAATCCAGCCAAGAAGATATTCACACCTGCAGCAGATGGCTGCAGACTGAAGTCAGCAAGAACTTCTAAATACATTTTACACCACTCACAGTCCTAGAAATAGGAGCTGGGAAACAGTCTTAAGCTCACCATTTCTCACTGCATTTTGAAGGGTCAGTCCAGTGACAGCGCAGTAGAATGGTAAGTAACAATTCCCAAGCTAAACATCTCCATATAACCAATCCTTGTTCTAAGGACACTTTGTCCTAGGTAGTGACATGTGAACCTTAAAGTATTCAGTTTGACCCAGTTAAGGTCCCAGTCCTGCAGAACCTTATGTCTGTGAGTAGCTCCACGGAGCCCAGTGGGGCCACACATGGGGCAGGGTCTCTGGCCTACATGCCGTTTGGGATTAAATCGTCACAACACTACTGGAATGTTTAAAAAATAAAAAAAGACAAGAGTCCAGAACTGTAGACTCTTGCTATCCCCACTGAATTTGGAGGGTTGGATAAAAAGGGACATAGAACTAAACCGTCCTTGCTTTGGGTATTAAACACAGCAAAATTGACCTAGAGGTCAAACCCATCCTGGTCAAACCAACTGCAGTGCCCAGTGCTCTCTGTACACCTCCAGGAATATCCTGCAGCATGAGCCAACACCTGCTTTGGAAAAGAAGGTGCTTGGGGCATCGATGCATCCCGGGATTCAGAGCTTTATATTTTGACACACATCCCCCTCGTTAGTGAAGCGGGGGCTTGGCCAGTCCCCGTTTATCTCCTGCACCCCCTACAGAGGAATTTTTGTACATGTGGGGAAAGAACTTTTTCCTACTACTGACCTGAGCCCCACTCATGTCATGGGTGTGTGTGATAGCTTACAAGGTGCAGTGGGTTTATCATATTGTCTTTCTAATGTAACGGCAAAGTCCTGCATCCGTCTGGCTCTGATTGGTACAGAGATTTTACCACAACAAAAATGAAACTCCTCCAGCCATAAACCAGGTTCTTGGTTGCCATGTTCATTTTCAGCTACAAAAGGAGTGTCATTTGTAGCTTTAATCAGCATGATCGTTATAGCATTGCAGACAAAGAAGGAAGACTGTGATGCAAATCCTGATAAAATATTTGCCGTCTTGTATATCCCGTCCTAATCAATGCACTTAGCTAGACGGGCACATTTCACCTTGCCTGCCCAGACAAAACCATAGCAAGTCACAGCAGAGACTATTAACTTTTTATTCTCTTTCCATTCTAATCTAATTACATTTCTGTGTTCAAAAACTGAGCATCAAGTTAAAAAGGTTATTTCGAGCAAGTCACAGTTAGGGAAGGTTGGAAATTTCATTTAGAGTGAATATGTGATTCATTACAGCAGGGATTTGGAACTGACCAATTAATTTGCCTGAGCGCATGGCTCAAACTGGTAGTGCTGCCCTACAGTAAAATGCCACATAGTTAATCCTAATTGCTTTTCCTCCCACTGCTATCTGCAATGCCACCTTCCAAAGAAAGAAAAGGAGGAGGAAATGGCACAAGCTAAAAACAAAACAAAAAAAACCAACAAAAAGAGAGAGGGAGAGATCTGCAAAACAATGTTTTTTATACTAGTGTGGGTGTATCAGCCCCCAAGGTCTGGAGACTCCCCAGACAGCCTAAGGGATGGCAGATATGGTTTCCTGCAAGGTAAAGAAGGGGTTTGTTGCTACTCTTGCAGTGGAAGCATGAAAAGGTCACTTACTCCAGAATCCCAGCCACGTGAGCTCTAGGTTATCAACCGACTACGCACAGAATACATGCAGGCTCTGGAGTTCCATCATGCAACAAAAAGTTAATCACAAAAGGAGGCCATTTAATAGCACTGATGTTCACAACATTTGCTGAAAGCAAACCAGTTCTAGAGATGTTCCCGCATGGGACTCAAGGTCTGGATCCAGAGGTGAACTTTCTCAAAAGTTTAAGTGTGCTCTCATCTGGGTGATCTAGTTTGGCCCTCTAAAGAGTGAGAGGCCATCACTCCATGAAATCCAGGGTGAATGGGTCTTGAATTTTAGTTCCTGCCCACTTCTAATTCACCAAACGGAAAAGCCATTTTGGTACCAAGTCCCCCTTTTATCTTAGAAGACATTTATCATCCCCTGCTCGGGGCACCTAGGTCAAGTCAAATGTTTAAAAAAAGGATCAGCTAGCTGGTAAGCATTACACAGGGAATACAATGGTGAAGGAGACCTCGCTATGCACAGAAATGTTCATAGTTATGTGAGGTGGAGTGGTTGAAAAAAAATTTGTAAGAGTGGTACGTACCAGGAAATAGACACATGGCGTCTGCCCTGCCCCCAGGAAGTAAAACAGACTTCGGCCAGTCAGCAGGAGATTTCAAACCATTTCTCAGACACAAAGGCCACAGGAATTAGATGCCGATCAGAAGAAGAGGGTCTGCAGCGAGCAGAAAAATGGGCTTGCACGTGCTGGTACGTAACACACAACGAGCAAGCCTCATCCGGCCTGCTGCCAAAATTAGCGTTTCCGTTTTTTTTTTTTTAAGAGGAAAAAAATTCTCTAAAATAATGCTTTGAATGGGCTTATTGGCCTTGGCAATTAAGGGTTGTACAAAGAAGATGAAATTTAATGCCATGTGTTTTCAATGGAAATGGAAAATATTGAAATAAGGTAACTCTTAAGCCAATTAAGGATGCAAATCTGGGGGGTCTTAGACAGTCCAAAGATGAGTTACAGTATCTCTGTGTTTTTTAAGTATTTTTTTCCTCTTTCCTTTTCTCCTGAGCTACTTTCCTGTTTCTCCCAGCTGCAGTGCATGATTGTCGCCCCAACACTGCAATGACAAATAGAGATTGGTCACCTGGAAAAATGCAGTACATAAGGGGGACAGCTGGTTTATTGCTGGGAGAACATATGACTTTGCCACTGTTAGTGACTTATAATGTGACTGCTCAGACTGAACCAAGCTTCAGCAAAAAATGTGGAGGCCAATATATTCCAACAAAGCATTACCTTAAGACAAAAAAGCAATGAACCCTTTCCAACCAATGCTCATATACCAATGGATGGCATTAATAGCAGCGCAAACAATAGACACGGACTATGCTCAGTACCATGCAGAGACAGGACAGGAAAACAGAACAAAAATCTCCCCGCTTTGTGCCCCAGCATTGGTGGCTGGGGTTCATGTGAGAATTAACATATACATACACTCAATGAAATGGTTTGAAAATCCTTGCCAATTCTCTGCCTCCCAAGATCGGAGGAAATCCCAGAATATGACAGCTAGCAAAATTCCACGCACACACACACAAAGATATTTAAAAATATGTTTATTATCATTGTTTGCTTTTAGACTTCTGCTCTTCATGCACTTAGGATAAAGGACTTTATAATAAATATTCCTTAGAGTTCAACATGGTTATACATTTGAAGAAGGCTTGGGGGTGGGGTGAATTATTATTTTTTCACTTCCAATAAATTGTTTTCTAGCTTTGACAGCAAACATACATTTACTGTGCGGAGCAATTCTGGAAAATCTCTGCACCAATCAATAGTGAAAATCCTCCTCCTAAAAACACAAACAAAACTAGCAACATACCCAGCACCCCATGCAATTAACCCTTTATTAGAAGGCTAACATTTTTAGTATTTCTTTGTGGGTAAAGTTAACTTACCAAGTTCTCCGATCAGCCTCACTTTCCACACAGACAACAGACATATAGAAGGATGGCTCAAATCTTTAATTCCATATTCTGTCAACTCCCCCTTATTAATGTATCATTATTTCATACCAGACAAAATGGATTCATGCAGCCTATTCTTGTGTTAATCACATTGTCACTTAAATCTGAACAGCTTGACAGATGCTACTTAAAAAGCAGCATAGAAATTCTGGAAGATAGATTTGAGGTAAATTTCCTTGCTGGAAGTGGTAGAGGGGAGTTGAAAAATGTGTGGTACTACACAACAGCACAGCTTAACAAGATGTGTTCTAGGTGAGCCTAGCTGGCATTGCAAGGATAAAAGCAGTACTTAAAATTGCCATTTTACAGGCATTAGAAATAATCAATGGCCTATGGCTATGGGTCACATAGGTCATGAGTAATCATTGTCCTTATTTTGAAGACAGAGAAGTTTGGTATTCCTGGTTCTACATATTAGATGGTGTTAACCAAACTAGACTCAGAGCTGGCAAATGTTTCTAACTGACTAGGTAAATCTGGGAAGGAAAATGCACATCATAGCTTAAAGAACCATTGCAATCCAATGGTGTCAATTTCCTTCACTACTGGATTTTATCAATATTGATTATTAATTGGAATTTCTGTTACATATCAAAATAATAACTTGAGTGTAATAGCTTAAGGAGCTTTTTTGTAACCCCAAATAAATTTGAATCCTCTAAATGTAAATGTGCGTGAGAGACTGTAGAGTAAGAGACTGCTCAATGCCTGTCTTACCTGTTTCCATTGAACGTTGTTTTATAATCACCGGGCGAGTGTAACATCTCCTCTGTATACACTGGCATTGGTGTCCTGACGCACTCGTGGGAGCACTGTAGTGTTTCATTGTAGGCTGTGAATATGTCCAGGTTACTGGGCACACGGGCTGGGGTGAAGTCTGTCAAGTTCTGGCAACTCTCTTCCTGCTGATTGATTTTGCGTTGGTGGCCGTTCCGCCGTGTGTTTCCACTTTGCACACAACTGGGTGTTAAATTTAAAAAAAAGAAAAGAAAGAAAAAAGAAAAGAAAAAAAAACACAACCCAAAATACAACTGTGACCCTTGAGAGAGGAACTTACATTACCTACCATTAATTATACATCATTTAATATTAGATTACAATTCACAAGCACTTTGGAAAGATCAGCCATAATCAAGCAATCAATTCCCTTTATTTTATCTTTTATGTTTAAAGTTAAATTTTAAATGTGAGCCTTTTATTCTCAGAAGAATTACTGAGATAAGAGGTGCAGCCATATTTGCAGGAAGTTAGAACTTTCTTTGCACAAAGATTTTAAACAAGAACAATCAACTTAACCCTTTTGTGTCCTTGAAGCTGTTGTGACAAATAATGGCAGGAAATTGGTCTGAGAGAGAAGCACTGGGACTCAGAGAACATTTACAGATACATTGGATATGGTTCACTCATTGATTCTGAAGCCCCATGTAATCATGCCTGATAACTCATTGGTGCATTAGTCTACAGGGGAGATTCTGTATTTCATCCCCTTCCACCTACTGCACCTCATGAGTTTGACATGGGATGTTCTTCTTTCTAGAAATGTACTGTATTTCAAGATCTATACAGGCACAAAACAGGGCACCTGCTACATGGACATTACATGTCCTGGACAATTTGGAGAACCATATGTATGGTCATACAATTCAAAGATGGAGACCTAGAGAAACATTACGCAGAACAATAGAGAAAGAAGCCAAATCCATCAGCACAATACTCAGAAGCCTAAACAGACCAGCACAAGATCAAAATAAATGGTGGAAACTGGTGGACGCCCCAGGCACCAGAAGGTGCATGAGGATAAAAAAAAGAAAGATGTACAGTCATTTGTTATTACATATAACAATAACGGGAGGAAGGGCTAGAGAGAAAAGGGGGAAAGGGGATCCTTAAGACTGATAGGGAACACTTGGGCTCTAGAGGTTAGGCTACCTCTAGAGCCAAAGTTTCAGGATAAGCATTAGGGTGCTTAGCTCAACTCCTTTGTTTTCCCTATCCCCTGAGAAAAAGCTTTCTTGTGAGACATACAGCCCCTTTGGTTTTGGCTGAGTTAGAAATACTGAAAAATTAGCCTCCCACATGCTAGTGTCAGTATTTTTCATTGGCACAACCATTGGAGCAACCTTCTCTCACCACCAGCCTTTTACCTATTCTCCCCGATGTGGCTGAAACACTCATGTATTTTCACTCCTGGAGTGAAATCCTGGCCCCACTGAAGTCAATGGTAAGATTGACTTGGTTGGGATCAGGATTTCATCCCTGATCTCTCCCACACCCTAGTCCAGCCAAGAATAGTTGCATTTCTAGTATTTCCAGTTCCCGAAGAGCCCAGGATTGTTAGAAATATTTCTGAAGTTTAAAAAGGACTAGGGGTCATTTTCAGACTTGTGATGAGCCATACCTATGACCGCAACCACCGTGGCTTTCCAAGGTTTAAATATCATCATTGCCAAAAGAGATAATTGAGGTGAAGAACTTAGTAGAATTCAGAAAAAGATTAGGTGCTAAATTCTTTGCTGGCATAATTCCATTTCAACTGAATTACACCAACAGAGAATTTGAGTGGATGCATTTGTATGGATAATGGGAATATTACACTTGATAGAATATTGTTTTTCTTTCAGATCATAGGAAAACAAGCTAGCTGATGCAGGTGAATAAGAAACTTGCCTTTGAGAGCACATTATTCCATAACTGTCCATTATGGGCATTCATCCAAACCATCTGCTACTGGCCACTGCTAGAGCCAGAATACTGGACGACACGGACCCCTGGTCTGATGCTGCCTGGCTGTTCTTATGTTGTTCTAAATAAGCCTAAAGTTTCAAACTTAGGTGCTAAAAGCTAGTTGCCTCAATCCTGAATAGAAATGATTTAATGTGCAAAACCATTGAGCATTGACTTCAGTAGCACATCAGATGGCTGGGCACTTTTATTTAGTAAAATATGGATTTATTAAGATCCTGACTTGTAGGCTCGAAAAAGCTGGCTATAAATATCAAGTGGGAATTTCAAAAGGGCCTGAGGAAATTAGGCAATCAAGCCCCACTGAAAGTCAAGGGGAGTTAGACACCTATGTATGTTAGAGGTTTTTGAAAATCCTAACCAATAACTCTATAAACTAGATTCATGGCTGGCATAAGCAGGAGCAATTCCACTGATGTTAACAAAGTTACGACCACTTACACCAGTGATCGTTTTGGCCCCTTGTGTACATCCAGACGTCCATCCATAATGCCGATCTGTACAGTTTCCATTGATTTCTCAAACTGAAATAGACACCTGCTAAAGATAAGCAGTTCCCCATACTGTGAATTTACACAGATAATATAAACTTTGCACTGCATTGAGCAATCATTCATCTCAAAGTGTTTATAAAGAGGTAAACTACTAACCCCATTTCATACAACTGAAAACTGAGTCACAGAGTGGTTACATGGCTTGCCCAAAGTCACATAGTCAGTCTCTGGCATGAAGGGCTTCATGATCCAAACATCTTACCTCCCTGTCTACCACTCTTGTTACTCCACCACATTGCCTCCCTTGGTTCCTTGGGATATACAAGGACTCAAAATACAATTGGACAAAGATTAGAGCTGCATAAATAAATCACAATGCCACAGGGATTTTGGCTCTTTTTTGCTCTTGAGCAATATCTCAAAGTGAGATTTCCTGATATTTTATCTGTTATTTGAAATTATCCAAAAATGTTTTGTTTTGGCAGATTTTTTCCCCACACTGGACCGATCACAAGCAGTTCTCTCCAAGTTTTGCTATTTGACCTGTGCTAATTAGTTGAGATTGGTCACATAAATCATGTCGTATTGTTTCAGTTTTCTGTTTTGATGTGTGTATAACATTCTAGTTTGTCAGGAAAGAGAGGGGGGAAATGGCAAAAATGTTTGTTGAATGTTTTCCTGGTTTTTTTCATTGAAATATTGATGAGTTTTTGAATATTTTTTTTAAAAATTTAACTGATGCTAAATTGGTTTAAAAAAGGGGGAGGACAAAAATGTCATGATTCTCCTCTTTGTTCCCAATTTTGTCATCAAATTGTGAAATTTTGATAATTTTTTTCAATTTTTGAAATCCAAAAGGTTGGCCAGGTCTAATAAGCACTTCTGTTGTGAATTTAAAATTAGCTTTCTACAAATGCTGGTACATGAAACTCTGATATCCTCTTTCTGTGAGCATCCATGCCAGGAAAATTGAATTGCAGAAAGCGGACAGAAGAGAGCCACCCACATGTCCAAAGCAAACTCATTTATAAATTTGAGTAAATATTCTCCCAGAATGTTTTGCAGTATTTGTCCAGCTCTAAGAAATACCAGCCCTCTTCAAGAAGACAAATTGGGCACCTAGAAACAGAGGCATCCAAAATCACTTTATTTGAGAAATTCTTGCCTTATAATACATATTTTAATGGCATGTGGAAGTATACATCTCTGCTACTGGGTTGACAAAAACAGTTCCTCTAAGAACATTGCAAACATTTTCAACCGTTTCATTTTTGTAAGACTCTAACAATACCCAACTGTGATTTTTGTTCAAAAACATTTCAGTGGAGAAGGGGTGTATATTCTAACTACACAGAACCTAAGATGAGCCTTCTCAATCCTGTTTAATACGGGGATTCCTGACTCTCAATCAGACTTTTCAATATATTTCTAGTATCAATATCTTATTTTATCCAATCACCTGAGAAGAGTACTGGGATCACCTGCGGGAATTTACACTATATGACTGATAAGCTTGGAAGCTATTAGAGAAATAGTTGCTGGGGGGGGGGGGGACTACAGGCCTCAGAACTGTGTAGGAGAGAAGCAGAGTTACGCTGCATTTTTTCAGATTCCCCACGGGTGCAATAGCATTATTACATCCAGCAAAACTGACCTCAAAGTAGGACAATTTCTCTTGGAAAATAGGTAAAGGCAGGAATGCCTGAAGCTAAGAACTAACCTATTTTACTCTATGCATAGCTGATGTTGAAGAATAAAGAGAGCAAATTAGGCTAGAGGAGTGCATGGACACTCTAGGGGATATGGCAAATGTAAAACTGGATGCATTCAAGAAGCTCAGAAGATGCATTCAGTCCCTAGAGCTGTAGAAAAGGTCAGAAAATATAATTATTATATGCTGAGCCAGTCTTGTGTTTAAGGGAATAGCTTAGCTTCAGACAGTAACTCAGCACACAAGCAATAAAGTCATTCTATTCAGGGCAGGGTGCATTTTACCCTTGCGGGGAAACCCAGAGCAGTAGAGTAAATTACTCTGACCTCGCCAGAAGATGCCACTGTTGAGACATTTTGTAGTTCCTAAACTAAGAGAGTGCAGTACCATCCTTTGCCAGTGTGAAGTCCAAGGGGTATTATGAAGTGAAGCTGAATCCCTTAGCTCTGGCAATATGCAAACTTCCTAGATTTAGGGGCCTTAAAATGAGATGCAGTTATGTAACCTGAATTTTGATATAAGACTCTGGGGAGTGAGTGCATTGACTAGCAGTAGTCATAGAGTGCCATCTCTCTTTCTCTCACCACAGTACTGAGCTGATACATTAGTGGTAGGGGTGTTTTTTCATGTGCCCATGTGGTGGGCAAAAGCTGTTTTGTTTTCCATTCTTGCTAACATGTCTGGATAGTGCAAGGCTGGGCATGATTCCAAATTCTAAGTTCTAAACAAAAAGACTGAGACTTCAAAGAGAGTTGAGGGCCCTTCTTTAAAAATCTCAACCCAAACAAAGATTATTTTTAATTTCCCTGCAGTTCTTTGGAGCGCATTCCCATGATGTCTGAGTATTTACTGATTTTTTGAATTCTTTGCAATTCAAAAGAATCATTATTCCTGTCTCTCCCTCCTGATTCCCAGTCTACCCCTCCACGCACTCCAGAGACAGCACCAACACTCAGGCCAAGCAGATTGACAGTGGTCCTTACCAATTCTTTAAGACGAGAGTTGTTATCAGAGCAGCTATGACCATGATGAGGGACACTGTGATTGTTATGATCTGATGGACTGCCAGACCTGTGAAGAAAAATCAAAAGAGAGTAGAGATAGGAAACAAAAGGAATCCAGGATAATAACGAGCAAGGACCCGACTTGCAGTTGTATGACTTTGTAAAACTTCAAGCTCTGCTCAAGTCAAGACTTCCAAGCTCTGTGAAGCAAATGCAGAGCCAGCAACAAGGCTACAATTCTACCCAGGTTCTTTGGGGATGACACAAGAGTGCGAAGCCTGAGAAGGGTGTACAGGCTGGGGACCCCAAGATGGCCCAGTGGCTCTGTAACTCACAGTGTCCCTGTGTGCTTGGACCTGAGTCTGCACTGGCCACCTCTTCCTAAGAAAGCACAGCAGGTCCCTGCAACCCTGCAGATCCTGCCTCTTCCCTATCTGCCCTTTAGATTCCAAAGGCTCAGGGCACTGCTGCTGCCCCGTCTTTACTAACAGGGCTACAAGGCTCCCATGGCCTCTGCTTCTCTCTCCTCAGCCCAACCTTTCCGGGTTCTTACTGCTGGTCCAGCGCGACATAGTGGCCTAAGCCCTGGGCTTGGCACTGCATTCATAGACGCGCAGGGAGGGATTCTGGAATTCATGGGGAATGAAAGAGTTTCTTTAATTGAAACTGACTGGCTGGGATTCAAACCCTCTAGAGATCCTGAGTCTGGCTCTGGGATAACTGCATCACAAGGAGGCTGTAGGGGTGCTTCCTGACACCAGCGTGGGAGTCTGACAGTGTGTAATTCAGTTAGACAGGGAATATGAATGAAGTTTACATACACCACCAATCGTTGCTGCCTTCCCGAAAAAAACCCTAATAACCGTTAGGTGGCACTGGGAAATAATCCTCTCCCTGTACACCCCGCTTCGTCCACTGAGGTCACCCTGTCTCAGAGTTTGCTGCATGTATCCACCCTCAGGGGGACAGCAGGAGATATTAATTCTCTCCCTGCTCCTGCCAGCTCCTCTTCCCATGCCTTACAGTCCTTGAGAGCCAGTTGGGGATACCTTCATTGCAGTGGAATGGGAAACAGACCTACTGAAGTCATAGCAGAGGATCACAGTCCTGCCCGAAGCATTTTGCATCCATAATGATTTTTAATAACCTTTTTTCAGTGAGGCTGGTTTAGTTGAAAAGTGCTGGACTGACCTCTTGGGCATCAAAGCCCTCCCAAAAGACTGCTAGGGCAAGGACAGTGGCCACACAACATACCTCGGCCTTGGCCAAGCCACACAGAGCGAAAATGCAGCCCCATTCCCAGGCAGGTCTCTGTCTGTCTCTTGAGGCTGCCAACAAGACTACCTCTGAGTGCCCACTGAAGTGTTGGCTCCTGGCACCTATCCCCTAAAAACCTATCCTCCTATCACCCTCCCAAATCATTTCACTCAGGGCCAGCGAGCCGCCATCAGACAGTGGCAACTTAATTTTCTGTCTTGCATTATATAAAATAATCTTTAAACCAGGCTTCTCATTTTCTATCCCCTCAACTATGTTCCTTGTCAGCCTGAATTAGGCATGAAGAACTGAAGAAACATAAAGACATATACCCTCTGGAGGAAAGACGGAAACTTCGGTACAGCTTTGTAGCGAGAGTGGGATTAACCATAGATAGTAATTACAGTACTAAGTGCTATCACTTAGGAGGTCAGATGGGCTCATTTTCTCCTAATTCCCCTTACACGGGGTATAATTTTGGCTTGTGCATCATTCCTAATGAGTAGTTTGAAAACAGAAGCATCTCAGTGTACAGTAGGTTTGTGGCTTTGTGCAGTGTGTTACAGTTGCAATTTTGTAATGAAATGATTTTGCTGGCTGCTGCCCAAGGATGCTGTCTTTCACAAACAGATGTTAGAGCTTTAGTGAATATTATCCTGGTGCAAGATACTTGTAATAAATAAATAAATGCCAGTGTGGCACTGAAAGCAGCAAATGTATGTGTGTGTATAATCCACTGGTTTGATTGTTTCCATGTCTTGAAAGAAAGTGCTCCGTTTCAAGGGATTCCCAGCCTGCTCCCTGGGGGTAAATACCACATTCAGAAAGAAGATCTAGTATAATGGGCAGATCCTCAGCTGATGTAAATTGTCAGAGCTTCAGCTGAAGTCACCGTACTACTACGACAATTTACCCCAGCTTCGGATCTAGCCCATTAATCAAATACTCTGAAGCAAAATTTCCAGTAGTCTGAGTTTCAAAGTCTGTAGTGAAAGAGGCCGGGGGGGCTGACTAGTTAGGAAGGGCTTGTCTACATGTGGAAATTGATCAGCGTGGTTATTGCAGAATAGGCATGCCAGACTAGCCCCTGGTGTGAAGCACACTTATTATTCCACAACAGACCGTCCAAAAGAGGACCTTTACTTTCTCCCCACACCCATGCTGGCCATGTGTCAGATGCAGCCAAGGCTCTGCCTGTTTCTTGCCCCTCTCCAACCATTCTCTGCTCCCCACTCTAGGAAGAGAATATGCAGGTGCATAGCTCTGTTTATTCCTACATGCCTGGACACAAAGTCTGGGTAGACCTTACAGGCATGTAAAGGGGGCTCTCATTCCCTTCTATTCTGTATAGTCCAAGTCACAATCTAGCCCTGTATTTACTGCTTTACTCTTTTATGAAATATAAAGCCTTCAGTTCTCCTTTAAATTCACCCCCCCCCTTTTTTCCTGTTTATCAATGTGTCTCATCAGGATTTATGACTCTCATTACTACTAGCGTGACATTGCTAGTATCTTCCCCTGTCAGGGGCTGACAGCTCAGCCTGAAAGGGACAGCCCCTACACGCACCAGCCAGGAGATGAACCCATGCTCTAAAAGCTAATTGACAGGCTGAGACCCCCTGTCAATATAATGGCATTGATATACCACCAAGAGAAAGTCAGACACAGATACGAGTATCTGGAGATGTTCGCATGTGCTACTGGCTTTCACCTTAACTCAGAGTTGTTGCCCGCACATATTCAAAGTACCGCTAATTTTCCAGAAATGTCACTGACATTTGTTTCTGACCTGAAGAAGAGTGAAAGACATGGACCAATACCTGACAGGTGAAGTCAATTGTGACATGTGTTAGCTTCCGAGCAGAGGGAAAACACCCTTCACACGTCACTCAGGAAGAGAAATGTCACAACAGAGAACAGCCATTATGTAGCTTCTTTACTTCCAGATTCCGCAACCCTTATTCACACTAATTAGTTCTTACCTAGGAAGTCAATGGGATTACTCACTTACCTCTCAACTGTAGAGAGCCACATTTCCAAAGGCCCCTCTGATAGATACATCCTCCTCTCTTCCACTGTTTTAGCCTGGAGACTCAAGATGACCTATGTGCACTAAAGACTCAGAAACAGATCTTCTGCTGGTGTAAATAGGCATAACTCCACAGCAGTGAATGGAAGGATGCTGATTTACATCTGATGAGGCTCTGGCCCTCCAGAGTCTGTCTATCCACGTATCTGTCTGCCTCCATATTTATACTTTGCTGAACTGAGCACCGGTGTCCCATGTGCACTACTCACTATTGTTATTTATTTTTCATTACTCAAGTTTAAACTGCAGCAGCCTCACCTTCCATCTGGCAGCCTCCTGGAGGAGGTGGACTTTTACTCAACATTGCAGTGAAGGGATAAAATATCGAAGCTGTTCATAGTATGTAGAAAACATCAGTGAGAAGTGACATCTTTTTAAGAAGTGGTGCAGACTTCTCTGCCAAGATGCATGCCAAGTATAAATCAAACACTCAGAAATGTGAACTCTGACAGTTTAATATAATAAAACCAAGGTCACCTTTAACAAGCCGGATTCACCAACACTTTCACTGCCAAGTGCTTGGGTAATAATAGCTTGCGATGGACTGGATACTTCCCCCCACCCCAAAAGTTGGCTTGTTAGATATGACAGAGAGCAGAAGTACTCATCAGAGCTTAGAACCATAGGATGCAGCCACCGCTGATGAGTACCCTGCTAGGCATCTGGAAGGGAACTGTGACACAGAGGCTCATTGATGGTTCACTATTCTGTCAGCAACTCTTGTCAGACCTCTTTGTTTTGAAGATACCTGGCCGCCTCGGTAACCCGGCACGAGAGACAGCAGGCTAATGCTTCGCCTCCTTTGAATGTACGCTTCACATTTAGAAGCAGATCTACCAAAAATCTAGTCACATGGACATGAATGAAATATGGAGAGTTTTTCAGGAGAAACATCCTGCGGAGTTTGCTGTTAATGAGCCGATGGCCACTGCAGCATCATCATTTGGGAAGATTTGGGTAAACGCAAAGCGATGGCCGCCAGAAGCATTAATGGACACCAAGTTCCTCCTTCCAGCTCAAGGCTTTTTGTGCACCGTGTCAGCAGAGGAACCTATGCTGCAGATTCAGGTTTAGACAACGTTGGGAGGAGGTTTATTCAGGCACACTGCTCACCACGGCAGAAACTCCCTGCCATAAGGAACTGCCCGTACTCCCACAGAGCCACGGTCAGGGGCGCAGGAGGGGAGGGGAAGTGGGGGAAGACACAGACCTCAAGATCTAAACAAGACACCACATCCAGATTCACTAACTTCACCATGGGGGGCTGACAGAGACCAAGGGCTAGCCAGGCTCAGTGCAACCAAGTACTACACTACCCACCTGGGCCTTAATCTCAACCTACTCTAATATGCAGAGCTACACAATGGCTGTGTCAGCTTTGTTGGAGGGAAATAGGTGGAGATGCTTTCAAGAGAATCTCCGGAAAGAAAAGTTCCTAGGGTACATCAGACGAACTCATCCCTCTGTGGACACTGCAGCCATGGTCTATCTCTTGACCATTCCTACTAGGTGCTGGTGAAGGTGACTAGGTTGTCCTGTTGGTCCTACTGTTCCATTATTACTATATTAGTGCCCGGGCCCCAACTGAAATGGAGGCCTTATCGTGGGGTCCTGTGCATACCCACAGCACAAGTCAATCCTGGGCCCGAAGGCAGTCTAAAAGACAAAGGATGAGAGGGGGAACAGACACGCAGAAGTGAAGTGATTTGTCCAAGGGTAGT